TGCTAGGTTTTCTTCATGAGTATATAGGTATATGCAAATGCTCACATACATTTGTGTGAAAAAGTGGAGTGGGGCATGTCCACATACAAAACTGGTGAGTGTGTAAATGTACATGAAAGGCTGATTTCATGGGACTGAGTACACATGAATTGGAGGAGACTTCCTAAGAGAATATGATGCCAGTGTTCCTCCCAGCCCTAGTATAGAGGGTGCCCTGCCTGGCTCCAGCCAGGCACTGGGCTCACAGCACCCCCACCCCACCCCCACACTCTATTCCCCAGACCCATCCTGCTCGGCCAATTTGCAGCCTCTTGCTTGAGCCCCTGAGAAGGCCTGCAGCAAAGTCAAGGGGCTGGTGGCCAATTAGCAAAGGGGTTAATCAGGGATCTGGGGACCCCCCGGGGGGTGGGAAGCCAAGGCAGGCGTTGGGTTTGCAGGAGCATGAGCTGCCTGTCATGAGGCTGGGGGAGGGAGAGCCAGGAGAGGGCAGCTGAGCCAGCCCAATGGTGCTGGAAACCAAGGGTCTCCCTGTGAATTCATGATTGCTGAGCATTGACAGCAGTGCGGAGCCTGTGCAACAGTGTACACTGTGTGCAGAAGCACATGTGAATGCCTTCGAGCCCGTGATTGTGGTCCTGTATGCAAGCTGCGGGCATGACTGTGGATACCATCTGCATACATATGTGTGCAGTTTCGCGTATGGATATACTGGGTGTGCAAGGGTGTGCAAATGTGTTTGGGTATGCAAGCATGTCTGTACCTGTGTGTACACATGTTTAAAGGGAATGTCTCTGTGTTCACACATGTGCAAGGGCATATGCACACATTTAAATATGTGTTTCTATATACACTCATGCACACACGAAATCAACATGGTCTGTGTACATGTGTGCAGTGATATATCTGAGTACACAGTGTGTGTTCCAGTGTGCAGATACACCTGGGTTTACATCCATGTGTGGGTCAGTATGCATGTTTGTGTTCTCTGAACAGCGAGGGGCCTGGACCCCCACATGTGTGCCTGTGTGTTCCTGTGTGCCCGTGCTCATGTGCATGTGCCTGTGTATGCACATGTCTCGGCATGTAGGGAGCTGAGGGATGCGGGGCTGGCGGGCTTCAGGCTCCAGGAGAAAATCTGACAGATAAGACTTACCGCAGCCCCCGGCCCCGGGAGCCTGTTTTCCAGCCTGCGGAAGCTGTGAGCCCGTGAACTCATCTTATATTAATAGCTGCTGTCTCCTCACTTATTGCAGGAGAGGCGGTCATGGCCCTGGCAGGGGCTCAGCACTCAGGGCTGCCCCCACCCCTTACCCACACAAGACCTGGGAAGAAGGGGAAGAGAGGTGGTCCCCACCCCTACCCCAAGGCCTACCCCAGCAAGAAGGCAGGGTTCTGGGCCTCAGCCCTTGCCTCCCCCAGTCCAGGGAGCCTCCACTGCTCAGCTCACCCTCCTGGACCTCTGTAGCTGGGTGGGATCAAGCATGGTGTTGGGAAACTGGCATAGGGAGAGACTGGAAGGCTTGGCTTCCCCCTTCAACAAAACGCACACACACACACACACATACAAACATGCAGTGTGCACACCAGCATACATCCTGAGCACCAGGAGAGTATGAGGCTGAAAGAGACATAGAAGGCTTCAGTTTGAGGCGGCAGACATGTTTCTTTTCTCAGGGATCCTCAGTGGAGGGGGGACATACAGCCCTGCCTTCAGGGACCCCCATTCTCACATGGAAGGCAAGACTTCTTTATAAATGTTTACTCAGAAGTGTAGCAAGGTGTGTGGTATAAACCACATCTTCACAGCCACAGGAGGGCTTAGTCAAGGAGACTTTCTGGAGTTGTGGGTACAGGGAGGACCTGAGCTGTATCTGCAGAATCTGGGAGGAGGGCAAAGCCAGCCAGTTCCACCACATGGGCACATAGGCTCCAACCTGGACGCAGATTCAGACAGCTCTCAGGATGGGCCCAGGACCCAAGGCAGAGACCCCACATTTAGACCCCCAGAAATGTCTCATATGTACCATACAACCACAGCCAGACAGACAGGGAATCTGAAGCATGGGGGCACACCACAGGCCCTCCTAGATAGGAGATTGGTAAGCACAGGCCCTGCTGGGCCCTGGAGCCAAAAGTTGGGATGGGAAGCCAAGGGCTGAGCCTGCAGAGGGTAGGATGAACACTGGTCCCTCTTCTTCTGAGCCTTGCTGGGGGCTCTTGAGGAGCATGAGGAGGCAGCAAGGAGGCCCTTCCCT